CCTGAGATGAAATACTGCCATACGTATCGTTGCAGCCTAGAATGGTATAATGTTCATGCATGCAAACTTTAGGCATATAACCTATTGAGGTTAATAATTCCTGCGGTGGTTTATGGTTAATTTTTATACACCAACACGTAGTGTGGATAAAATTGGTGGTGATTGGATGATAGGAGACCGATGCACAACACTCTTATGAGCAATTCTTTATAAATGAGGCTTTAAACACACTGCGAGAAATCTGTGTAATGAATTTTCTTAAACTTGATCTTGCTATTGATAAGATGTCGGTTTACTCTTTGCTAAAAAATCTGTTGGTCATCTGGTTTGTCCATCCATGATTTGGTACATTTGTAAAATTATCCCCCGTTTATATCAGGGACAACGGATTGTAACTTACATTTCGTCTCTAAATATTCGGCCGTATTGTATAAATATTTAAACTTTAATCTGCACATTTCATTTTGGAACTGATACATTAACTTTGTCAGTAGTCTAGTTCCATCTAAATTTTTATCAACGAGACTGAATCAATTTATGCCATTCTCACTAAGGAATGTAAACATGCTTAGGCAGAGTTATTGTGCAAAATTTAACGATGTACATTTTCAAACAGAAATTAAGCTAGCTAATCATATTGAAACAAGCTGTACACCCAAGGTGGAATAATAGGAATTCTGCATTCATGCTGTTCTCGTTTTAAAGGGACTATACCGATTTGAACAGAGTCTCAAAAATAAAAATCCAAATATAGAGAAATGGTGAATTTACCTTATCTCAAAATATCAGCTCAAAATATTGAGTCGTTTGGACGTGAAAGTCAAAAATGCTTATCCGGACACGTAACCCTTTCAAAATTTCGGGTTAATTGTTTCGTTGGGCGAACTGATAATCGATTTCCGTTTCTTTAGAGGTCTATACAGTGAATGACCCGTGTGCTGTATTTCATAACGAAGGGTAAATTTCACCTACATATTATTTTTATAAATTAAAGTCTGGTTTTATCAAGACACCGTATAATACAGTTTGGACAACGGTCTCCATTTCCAGATGAGTTGGTTTATGTTGTTTGAAAACGTATGACAAATATTGAGTTAGTTGCTCAGATCTTAGGTAGAGGATTTTAAGGGATTTTAACACAAACTTGAGCAGTTTTATTCTCCAAAATATTATCGGGATTGGCCCTTTAAAGTCTTGATACTTTTGGAGTTTAATAATTGTTAGATTTTAAATTGTTCATTTAAACATTTAAAATGCAAATTCGTTAATCTCCAAACATTTGAATGATTTCATTATTTTATTAGATCATGTTTTACTGTAATTATTTACTGATACAGTGATAGTTTTACTTTCATGCTGTTGGTATTTTAAATAATAGATTTGTGGTGAATATTACAACACCATGGTAAGATTTTAGAAAAAAATTTGAGGGTAATACTATTGTATTACTGACTTATATTTCTAGAATAGATTCAGAATGTAATTTTTAAAATTTCATTCAAATATTATAATGTAAATGTTACATGTACAAGAATTTGAATGGATAATTTCATTATTGTTAACTTTTTCGTCTGAACTTTCCTTTAGACATTTGCATTTTGTTGCTACCCATTCTTTCATACATTCCTGAAAATTTTTACATACACTTGAGAGAAGTTGATAAATATTTTGGAGAGCTTTGTTGTTGTTGTTGTTGAAGTCTTCACGAATTATGTAAAGAGCCTTGTCTTTGTTGAAATATACCACCAAACTGCTTGGCAACCAAAAAATATGTTCAATCTCTACACATTCTCCATATTGTAATAGCAAACCTGCTCTTGATCCAATGTGTTAAAATGTGTTAAAAATATGGATTTGTGGGTGTAAAACATTTTCCGTAAAATTTGCGTACAAATGGCTGGCAGCTAAGTTGCCAATCTTTAGTCATAATTTTTACGACAATTACGGAAAAGGTTTTACAGTGTACCTTCAAGCTGGAATCAAGCCTACATAGTACAAGTACACAAAAAAAAAATTTAAGAGAAGACCCCGGACATTGCCCTAGCTAGTTGTCTTTCTAAATGCTTCTTCTCAGTTATTAATAACAGAATTACAAATTATCTCCAGTCAAACAATACGTTAGATCAAGGTCATTGTAAACGATCCTTAATAAATATAAAAGTAAGAATTGAAATGTTTTTATCAGTTTCATAGATTTTACTAAAGCATTCGATACCATTTGGAGAAAGGGGCTATTACTTAAATTACTTAAACATGACACAAATGGAAATATCTTTAACATAATAAATTCAATGTATAGCGGTACTTCATATATAGTTCAAATATGTATTTAGGAGTAAATATAACAAATAAAGGAGCTATGTCTGACCTTTGCAAAAAGGCATTGCGAGCTTTTTACAGTATTAAAAATAAAGAATGCGTCCCTAATCAATCACCCACAGAAGTTCTAATTAGACTGACTGTACGACTCTGTTGTTAAGCAAATTGGATTGTATGCCTCTGATGTTTAGGGTTCTCATTTAGTGCACAATGTAGGATTAAATTTAACAAAGTGGAGTAATATAGAACACAACAAGATAACCATAAAAACCTGCAAGTCAATGTTGTGCCAACCCCCTAAAATTACTAATATAGACTGCCTTGCAGAGCTCGGAATTTTCCCTCATATGCCATAGAATGCTACTCTATTATAAAAGACTAAACCGACTTGAAATGAAAGAATCTCACCCGTTACTGACTGAAGCCTATAATGACGATATTAAAATAGCTAACTCTAATATTAAACTATCAAAAAAATTTTTCTAAAAACCTGCTGAATATCTCGGTTATGTACACAGTAAGAACTTTAAAATAGCCATGACTGCACTCCAACTTAGTTCCCACTCACTTCAAATTGAAATGGGCAGATACAAAAATGTCCTTCCAGATCTAAGAATATGTCAACAATGCTCTATGCACAAAGTTTAAGATGAAGCACATTTTTACTAGAATGTCCACTGTATGAAGATTTACGTACCGTCCACATATACCCAACATTTACAAATAATTATCTACCCTATTCTCTAGAAAATCTATTTAACCCACCCAAAACAGTTGCAAAATAAGTTAGTGCATTTGTATTCCATCCAATGAATCTAAGAGCATAAATTGTGTTGAGCTATCTCTACTTTTCTGTATCAAAATTATTATGAAGATTTCTATGTCTTAATATATTCCATTCCATACGTTTTTACTTGATTCATATAAAGCTTCTTGCATTCCTATATATATTTCCATGTAAATACCTATACTAAGTCTTCTAGTTATTTATGTATTTATAATATTTATATCCATGCATCATACTTGTTGCATTGAATGATGTGCCATTATCAAATGTATCTACAGATACTGTTTGTCCTGATAGTAAATGTACATTTAAGCTAGATTTAAATTATCAACCGTCTTGTTTGTAAATATATATATTATTTGTCATATTGTTATTTATCTACACGTTTATATTGTATGTTGTCCTCAATGGATGTTTCGATACAATAAAATCTTATCTTATCTTATTTGGCGTGTTACTGTCATTTCCTTCTGCCATGTGTTTATTAATTTTCACCGACGCTGACTTTTTTGTTGTTGACAATAACAATGACAGCTTCTGGCTTTACAGTCTAGTTGTCAAACCCCATTTTAAGCCTTGACGTTGAAATATAATCCGCCTAATGCTTTTGGTGGATCATATATCTTCAATGTGTGTAGATTCTGATTCCGGGTGATGCCACCCCGGCACACTTGGGGAAATTTAAATATTCAAGATGGCCGCCATGAGGCATTTTCTGGTTATTTAATGCTGTAAATATGTGATGGGTTCTATAAGAATTCGACCTGTTGAATCCAATCAGCTTGGGTATTCCTATTAAAAGTGATGGCTAATTCCACAAGGGGGCCAAATTCAAAATGGAGGCTTATTTTGGCAGGAAACTTAAAAAGTTCCCTAGAAAGGTGCGTAATATATTGAAATATAGGTTTTCGGCGCATTATATATCTTCAATATGTGTAGTTTCAGAATCCGGATAATGCCACTCTGGCATCCTTGGGGAAATTCAAATATGCACGATGGCCTTCTGGTTATTTACTTTAATTTAGTAGGGTAAAATTCGGGACAGATTCTCTTGGACCTTGGTATGAAGGTGATTTCTATCAGAATTTGACCAGCTGAATCCAATGAACTTGGGTATTCCTCCTAAAAAAGATGACTAATTCGACTTGGGGGCCAAATTCAAAATGGAAGCTCATTTTGCCGGGAAACTCATAAAGTCCCCCAAAAAGGTGTGCAATATTAGGGTGACCCATGCACTCTACAGAAAGATGGTCTCGACACGGCTAATGTGCACGCTTCAGTGGTAGTCTCGAACTATCAGCGGTGGACTGTATGATACTATAAATAGCCATGGCACGTGCAATTCTCTACTAATCTATCAACTATTACAGCCGTAAAAAATCTCTTGTTTACGATTTTGAATAGCAGTAAAATTTAGCGTCTTGGTTATTACAGCAGCTTTAGAAATTATGTCCGTTTTATTTTTTAAATTGCTTTATCATTAGCTGTACCGTTAAGAGCGGCATCTTTTGGTTTAGTACAAATAATATCTCTGAATCACTTTCGTTAGCAGGAACATGATACTAGCAGTAGTTTCATTTTACTTTTACAACCTTCTTAAAACAATTGTAGAGCTGGCTAACGTGCGTTATGTTTCGTAAAAAGATAGTCTTGATTATCCCGACCTGTCAATCAGACGTAGAATGGTCGGTACACTGGTTAAGCGAGCCTAATTTCAAAACAAGGGCACGTAACCTATTTTTTACTCAAAAGTGTCTGGATGTTATGGACACAGATCACCAAAAAATTCCTACTTTGGTCAACGAAACAAGTCCCAATCTAAAAACAGACTAACTTTCCCTTATTTTTTTCTCCCTTTTTCAGACGTTTTTTTGTTTTTTTTTTTAGATGTGGAATTGTTGTGAAGGTTTTGAATTTTGAATATTTAGCCAGTTTTGGTGGGAAAAGAGGATATTTGTGCGGAAGAATAACATGGGTAAAAGGGCTTGAAAGACGTCTCACATTGAACTGGAAGTACAGAATTGACCACAGTCTACTTTAACTTTTCCTGATTTGAGATTTCCATGATGAACCTCATACATGCTTCGGAGGAGATGACTGCCAGGTGCTATAGTTTATGCCTTGTGAGGAATTAGCTCAACGAATATTGTGGAAAGAGTTACAGCTTGTGACATGAGCTTGAAATAACATTGAAGTCAATGGGGCAATAATTGGTGATCTGTGGCCTGTCTGTAGTGAATGGAACAAATTTTACATTTTTTGCTGTGATCAAAGTTTTGAAGATTTTTACTTGAAATTTTCAGAGCAGGTACAGTTGACATTGCAGTTATTATAATCACCTTTATTTCTTATGCATTAAGTCTAAATTAAAATTTCAGGCTCTTACATTAAATTTTCGGTTTGTTTACACTCGTCTATTCATGAAAATCACTAATATTGGAATGAACATTGTAGGACAATGTTTATTATGTGTTTTATACTGTATTCTATCACTTTAGAAAGCACATGTTTTAAAATGGCAGCACCATTTGCATTTTATGCTAATAATATCAACATATTTTCTGAAATGTCTGTCAACGGCCAATGTGAATTTTGGCAGGGGTCGTGGACCTCAAACAACAAATATGGCATTATTCGTGTGAAGTGTCCAGACGGTATATGGCGCACTAGAAAGGCACATAGACTATCATGTATGGTCTACACCGCATTAGATTTCACTTTACCAGTTGACTTGGATTGCTCACATCTGTGTCATAACAGCCTGTGTGTCAATCCAAGTCACCTGAGTTTAGAGCCTCGTCATATTAATAATAATAGACAAAGATGTAAAGCGTTTAGATTTTGAACAGGGCATGGCCAATACGGCATGTGTTTCTTGCATTTGATGCTTTTGTAGGTGGGTATTGACAACTTTTATGGCATGTTTTGCTTTTGAGGGTTTTTTTTTGGGGGGGGGGGGTGAAGGAATGTTCGCTGGAAATACTTTAATACATGTATTTCAATTACCGGTTGAAACCACGGGGAGGTCTTCCTTTTTTTCAACCATATGATATTTTTTTTTGTTTTGTTATTTTTTCTGTTTTTAATGTCACTATTCTATGGCTATGTTATTCACTTCTCTATTCAGACGTCAAAATCTGAGTTCACAGTTCAAGACTGCGTGTATGAATGATCCTGCAGGGCTTCCTCTTGTGTTTCCGTCATCATGCCATCTGGTAAGTTTATGTCCAATTGCCCTTTCTTATAGCCAGAAACAGCAGAATGTATCTGCTTGTATTTAGCAAAGTCATACAGTTTTCTTCCCCTAGACCACAGTGCACGCCTTTTGACTCCCGGTCTATGTTTGTAGTTTTTCTGGTAAATCCGTTCATTCTCCATTTGATTTAAGGACTTTTTTGTTTTTGGGGAAAGGGAAGCACCAACATTTCTGGCCTTTTTTTCCAAAGATTCCCTAATGCCAATATTGTTAGGTATAACTGTCGGCGATAGCCTGCCCATAGCATTTCTTCCAAAATTTACATTTTTTGGTAGGGATACATTTAGAGACCGGTTCAGCGCCTCACATTTTTGTGTATTTGTTTGATATCTGGTTTTTGAAATGGCTTCCTCGCTAAGTCTAACTTTCAGGATCTCATTTAATATTAATTTGTCATTTTCATTCATTTGCAGAACAGTTATATTGTTAGAAGCCAGGAATATGGAACGTAGCCACCACGAATTGTGAAAACCACCCCCACAGACGACTGAACAGTTGCGGCATCATCGTAGCACTTGACAGTTGCCTTTAGGATTTTAGGTAGGCGTTTCTTGATTTCTTGCAGGTGTCCACAATGGTTGTGAAACAATTCTTTTACAACGAGACTACATCTGGCCTTGACATCCTGACTGAAGATTTTCTTAATCCGCAATTTTTCTAGTCTTGTTTTTCCCAGGAACATGTCATCGCTAAACTTTGCTCTGCTGCACTGTCTAAACTGGGAGGTAGCCAGGTGTGTGGGATCCGCTAGCCTCTCCACTTTCCACATCGGATGTAAAGTTTTTAAACTCTCCTCTATTCCCTCTGCAGATCTTCCATCTCCGTCTGTTGTCACACATTTGACAAGGACGTCCTGTAAAGCAAACTCCTCACCTAAATTTCTACCCATGTGTAGCTCGGAAAGTGGAGCCTCGGCTGATAAGTTGGCCGTGCATCCTTCGTGGCCCCCTGGACAGTCTACGGAAAGCCCTTTCCCCTTCAACCAGGCTCCAGTCCAACAGAGTTTGTTTTGCATATAACTGCCCCTAAAATGTACTGATTTTTTGTGTTTGTTTCACATGCAAGAGCTATTGCCTGCGAAGCCCCCTGGCGTGACTTTTTGCTATGCCCAATTGTGATACAGTTGTATCTGCCATCAACAGCTACATTTATTATATTTGGTTCTCTGCCCACCCCCCTTTTTGCATTGATGGCTTTAACCTCATCAACTTTTTCCTTCATGCACTGGGCATTTAACTCAACTGTTTTTTCACTGACGGTCTTGGATAATTTCTGCATACTGGTCCGAGATGGTGGCGGAATGTCTAAGCCAGCCAACATAAGCCTGGCCTTGGTGTTTCCAATAGGCATATCCAACAAACCAGAATATAGTGTTAAGTCAATAGCAGCAGCCTTCCGTCCCTTTCTGCCTGTATCTACCTCAACGTATAATTTGTAAACAGGAGAGGTGAAACCGCATTTGGTGCATCGAATCGAATATTTCCATCCTGCTCCCCATTTCTCCTCGGTGGCTATTTCAAAATTTGGCATTTAGCAACCTTCTTTCTCCAATTGGAAGTGAAGTTTGATCACTGAATTCCACATGTTAACCATTTTTTCAATGTTGATGATTCTGTTTCCCTCAATAGCATCCATGTTCTTACTGTCATCATCTTGTGTTTTTTTAGGCTTGGACCTCAATTCTCTCCTGCTGCCAGAGCCCATGTCATCATAAAAAGGAAGAAGAATATCTGTCTCAGAAATATTTCCAGGGTCAGCTGTAGATGTAGATGAAATGTCATAATCGGTTTGTGTACCTGTTGTTGACTCTAGCAACTTTTTCGGGCGTTTTACATGGCCAGGCTGGAATAAGGCATGTGTTCGTGTCCTCAACCCTCTCATTTTCTTCGAATAGACCTAACTAAATTTTTTGCTTGCTTGTGTGCTGCTATATTGGCCAGGGAAGTTGTAAATATCATTGTCAGTCTGTAGCACTTTTAAGGTGTGACTTGGAAGACAGGATTATGGTTGGTCAAGCATCTTTCGGATTTCATTCCAAGGGGGGGGGGGGGGGTCATAAACATGTTGTCTTGTTATGTAATTAGATTATTTTAAACTAATTGGCCTGTGTTGTTGCAGTCAACTGACAGATGTATCAGAAATAATTACCCTTGTTGGTTTCAATAATTTAAAAATCTCAAAATTTCGACTTTTGTCAAGATGATATAGACCAAAAAGTGTCCCGATTTTTCGTAAAAAAAATTGAATGGACAATACACATTTTTTATATTTTTCAAGCTCGTTTTGAATTCAATTATTAAAATCATTTTACAAAATGTAATTATTTTGATAAACAGGCAAGTTATAAAGGAATGAAAATTGTAGATTTGCAAATTTACTGACCTCAAAGAGCATAAATAGGGGAAATATGTACACATTAGCAAGTAACCTATTATCTGTCTAAAAATGCATATATTGCCATTTCTTTTGGACAGGGTGTAGGTGGTATGGTCCAGGTTGGGGAGCATAAGTTGTTTTGTAAATATAACAAACTTCATCCCTATATAGGACACAGATCACCAAAAAATTCCTACTTTAGTCACCCCCGAAACAAGTCCCAATCTAAAAATAGACTAACTTTCCCTTATTTTTTTCTCCCCTTTTCAGACGTTTTGGGGGTTTTTTTTAGATGAGGAATTGTTGTGAAGGTTTTGAATTTTGAATATTTAGCCAGTTTTGGTGGGAAAAGAGGATATTTGTGCGGAAGAATAACATGGGTAAAAGGGCGTGAAAGACGTCTCACATTGAACCGGAAGTACAGAATTGACCCCAGTCTACTTTAACTTTTCCTGATTTGGGATTTCCATGATGAACCTCATACATGCTTCGGAGGAGATCACTGCAGTGCCAGATGCTATAGTTTATGCCTTGTGAAGGAATTAGCTCAACGAATATTGAGGAAAGAGTTACAGCTTGTGACATGAGCTTGAAATAACATTGAAGTCAATGGGGCAATAATTGGTGATCTGTGGCCTTATGGACGAAACTTGGAACCAGTTTCAGTCTATTATTTCTAGATCATTAAATGGCCATAGCTTACTAAGTACAACATGATCGTTTATTTAGTGACTATAATTGTGTGAAACTGATTTAAGGCTTGGTATATATATACTATTCAAAAAAAGTAGGGGATATTTGATTTTTAAGTGTTATTAAAGTCACCTAATGAAACTGACGAAGAAACAAATGACAAAATGAAATGAAGTTCACATTCATCGATTTATTCCAAATGATCGTTAGACTAAGTAAGGCACAGACTGACCATTATAAGGGTAAAATGATACCCGGAGTCAAACAGCAAAGTTACCACAGCATCACAACCAAGTCAGTAACGGGTAAATCCTCCCCTGTTTGCCAAACAAGCATTGATCCGACGTGGCATACTCCTAATGAGACGTCTAAGGTCATTTTGGTCCAGATTGTCCCATTCCTGTTGCAACGCAGCAGCAAGTTCTTGGATATTGGCAGGACGTTGTTGACGTTGACGTAACCTCTGTCCAAGAATGTCCCAGACATGCTAGATGGGGGAGAGGTCGGGACTCAGTGCTGGCCAAGGTAATGTGGTGATGTTCTGTTGTTGGAGGTAACCTGTAACGATCATGGCCCTGTGACATCTTGCGTTGTCATCCTGGAAGATGAAACGGCGGCCATGACGTCGTGCGAACGGCACAACATGGACTGCCAAGATGTTGTCCCGGTAGTACTGGCCTGTAACACGCCCTGCAACAACATGTAAAGCCGTTCTTCCAGCAACAGCGATGCCTCCCCACACCATAACAGAACCACCCCCAAATCGATCATGTCTGATGACGTTAACGTCTTGGAAGCGCTCGTTTCGACGACGCCACACCCTCCTACGTCTGTCCAAAAAATCAACAGTGAACCTTGACTCATCTGAAAACATCACATTGCTCCAGCGTCGATTATCCCAGTGTTGACGATCCCTACACCAACGACGTCTTGCCTGAATGTGATGATCTCTCAAACAAGGGATCACGCGAGGACGTCGGGCGCGAAGGTGATCCCTATGCAGTCGATTCCGAATCGTCTGGCCACTCACTCTCACACCAGTGTCTGTTTGAAGACGAGCGCTGATCTGATTTGCTGTGATGACACGATTTCTCAAGGCCAAGGTACGGATAAATCGATCCTGGGCTTGAGTTGTCGCCCTTGGTCGACCTGAGCGTGGTCTGTCCTGTACAGATTGTGTATCACGGTATCTGGACCATAGCCTGCTTATGACAGACTGAGAAACATTCATCGTCCGCGCCACAACCGCCTGTGTTGTGCCGATCTGTAGCATGCCAAGGGCACGTAACCTTTCATTTTGGGTAAGCCGACGCATATCAAAATTTGTTTTCTGGTCACTAAAACAATTAAACTGATGTTTCCACCCTGGAATTCAATGCCACAATGACTGTAACATTCAAAGTCAGAGTCGTGCAAATCTTGGGTTGGACCCCCATGATGATCCCAAGCATCACCTGCATTCCATGCGGTAGCTATTGGTGCGTTTGGGCGTCACATGTAACTGGAAATGTTTCTTCTGTTAGGTATAAATAGTGACTTTTTTCGTAGTCATTTGCATATTTTAGTATTATGCCCCCAAAATCAAATATCCCCTACTTTTTTTGAATAGTATATAAATATTGTGGCGTAATTGTTGAGATATTTGGAGATATTTATTTATGGTTGGTCACCCTAGCAATATATTAAACTATCGGTTTTCGGTGTCAGTTACTTGGAGTATAAGCATAAAACATGTTCCGACCAAAAAGTATTCCTGGTTGAGCTCATATTCAAAATGGTGGTGGATATTTTTGGCAAGACATAACTATGTTAGCAATGTATTAACTATAGGTTTTCGGGTTCGCCGAATTCATATCTAAATGGCGAAATGTGTCATGACCGAACGAAACGCCAATATGGTGCCAAATTCAACAAAACAACTAAGTTTACTATACCATGGAAGAAAATAGGACCGGTAATGTAAAAACTTATGTATCACAAGACTAAGAACACGGCCAGAAGTTATGGAGAGCGAATTGTCAAGCATACATTATGACCCACTATGTCACCTTCTCTACTAAAAATCAAAAGGGAATAAGGGATGAAAAATGTTTGTCAGTGTGATACAAAACCCCAGCTTTACCGGGGTGTATGAGTGACCAAATAACTGTCAAGACAAAGCCCATCCCCGTTGCATGATACGGATGAAATGGAAAGAATCAGACTGTTCTACCGATTGCGAGTATTCCAGTGATTCAAGAGAGGAGGAGTTAGACAAATACGTGAGGTTGCACAAGACAAATATGTGAGTCCCAGTTAGCTATTAGAAACATTTACTTTCATTTCCCGATGGTCTGATAGTTGATTGTGTTTGACTGTGTATAATTTGTGTCCTTATAAGAATACAAGGGGAAGAAAATCATCGGGTTGAATACTTTTGGTCGAACAATTTTT